TTCTTGGTACTGATTGCTAATTATTATATTCAATTGTCTTAAATAGATTATTCCTAAGCTAAAATAAATAATTAGTTGCAGTATATATAGTTAATTTGAAATAAAAAATATACATTACTTCAATAAACTTTTTATAATTGCATGCTGCAATTTTTCAATGACACTGTTGAGGAACAGGAGGTATTAAAGTTTTTAGTACTTTATTTACTTCTTCAATAACTGCATCAAGTCCTTGATGCAGCTCATAAATTTCTAACCTAGAGACAACACAGTTACTGTACTCTCTATAATATTATAAATTTCAGGATAAAGTTGTATCAACTGAACTTTATCAGCAACCTCTATTAAGCGATAAATTGGGTAACGTCTTGCTAACCAAATTGGAGAAAATATTCGTTTAGCAGCTCTTTTTAAAAAAGAATTATTAATTCTTATAGACTTCCTGTAATTGATTATCACCTGGAGATAAACAAATATCTTTTTTTAAAAAAAAAAAAAAAATTAATTTTTTTTTAAAAAAAATGTATATTACAAAAATAACAATAACCTGCTTATATTTTATTCGATATAGTGGGTTCTGTTGTTCTTTAGCCCATACAAGATACTTTTCGACAGATGGGTTAGAATGACTTTTTATATATGGCCATAAAAGCTTTATAGCCATTGCTTGACGATATATATTACAAATTAAATCTCAAGATTTGTGATAATCAGCATATTTTTTAAAATAGGAGAGTTGATTTTTAGTTTGATAGCCTTGACAAACTGCAAAACGTTTTAAATCAATATTCCTATAAATTAAAAAAAAAATTCATAAGCCACTCCATTATATATTTAATGGAAAAATTTATTTGTAGCCATGGCTACATGTAGTCTATATATAATATACAGTATATATATATATATATATATATATATATATATATATTATATACTATAATAATATATATATTTTGTCACATGATATCATGTAACTATAATTTATCATGTGACAGTCTATAGAAAATTAATCTATAATATATTATAAATTAAAGTAGTTTGGAGCCTAGCAATATCATCATAGTCATAATGTCACATGATTAAGCGTACGACTTAAATTATATAGATAATAGCATAGTTTAGGCCGAGTTGTTAATACTAGTAATCAAATGATATCATTGCACAATTTTATGTAATAATCAATAAACTCAAAAGCACTTATCGATAGCATTGTTTGACATTCACAGTATTATTTATTCCATCTTTTAAATCTGACACTGCTGCATAAGTATAAGTTTGAATACAATAGTGTGTTCATAGTGTATTATTAAATTCTTATCGCTATAGTATATTAGAAGAATTTAACAGTATGCTATTCAACAACTTTAGCGTAAGACAAAATAATAATACTGTTGTACTGTCAAAAGGTTGTGTAACATAAAATGAAACGATCACAGGTACTTTTCAATGATTTAAAGATAAACCAATGATAATACTGAGTATAGTGATTTTATTTTCGCTTAAACTATAAGATGTATAAGAAAAATAGAAGTATTTTAACGAATCTGAATATAGTAAACCTTATATCTTGTGAACTAGTAAACAAATACGAATGATTTTATACAGTTTGATTTCTGTATTTATTTGCTAGTTCACAAGATACAGTCAGACCTCTCTAAGTGCACCCTCTATAAGTGCATGCTCAAGTACTGGTTCAAATATATACTTGACCTCTATAAACGCACTTTTTCTTATTATTCTCTATATGCATGCTATTAAAGTGTGGTCCCAAGGGCGTGCACTTAGAGAGGTCTGACTGTATAAGGTTTGCTATAATTAAAGCTCAATTTAATACCCATGGTATATATAGTACTGTATAATTTAGTTTTGCTTAATCACTGTATATAGTAAAGTAGTACTATATGAAAAGAATTTTACTAACTACAACCGATAGCGACCATTACCGCAATCACGTAACAATACAATTACATTAAAATAAGAATAAACTAGCTTTATCCGATTTTATAACAATACGTAATAAAAGCAAACATAAACTAAACTATACTGTCAAGTCATTATATAGTTGCCATACGGTGCTCGCTTTGCTCGCACCTAGGCAGTCATCTCGCGAAGCGTATTTCTAAATCAGCTACACGCACACAACTTGTACTCTCGGACGAGTTATCCATTGTATCGATTTAATAGTCAATATTTAGCATACAACATATAAGTGCAATTAGAATAAACATTTAGAAATTATAATACAGTCAAGCCTCTCTAAGTGCATGCCCTTGGGACCATACTTTAATAGCGTGCATATAGAGAATAATAAGAAAAAGTGCATTTATAGAGGTCAAGTATATATTTGGGCCAGTACTTAAGCATGCACTTATAGAGGGTGCGCTTAGAGAGGTCTGACTGTACTACATATAATTTAAAAAGAAAAATTCTTTAAAATCAGAGCTTTTTTCTATAAACCTGCCCTGACCCTAGCACATAAGAACAATACTTGCAAACACCCTAATCTAACTACTAATAAAATCAAATTTTACAAATCTATATTAGTATAACTTTCATATATCTATTTGAACTAATTTACTGAACATCTAAAGGTAGTATGTTATGATAATCAAAATAGGCCAGATCAATTAAATTATCGTCCTAATAATCTTAAAGATGCAGACTTATTGTAATATATAACTAAATTTCACATAATTAAATTGGTTTAAGCGTTAAATACAATAAATATAAAATGCAAATACATATAACATTCAATTATTAATAAAATGCACGTGGGTAATTCTTTAAGAACACTCTTAAAAAGGATAAGAAATTTGATTCTTTTTGTGCCATTTTTCACAACCTGCTTTATTATGTCCAGACTTATGACATTGTTGACATTCTGTTGGCTTTTACTCTAAAGTCTTAGGTTTTAATTCTTGAGACCCTTTAAAACGTGTTTTGCGTAGCATACCTCTTTTTGAACAAACAACGGGATTCTGAATTAAAGATGGATCTATATTCTCAATATCATCATAGTTTTGAGAGGATAATTCATTATCATAATCCGAATTAGAATTTTCAGAATTGTCAGAATTGTGTGATTCAACCAATTTCTTCTTTCTTTTAACATTTTTATGAGTTAATTCTTGATTAGATACATGCTTCGGGGTATGTCTCTTTATAAAATTTTCCATAAAATCGCTAAACTTTTGTAGTGCTAAAGGTCCTGCATCTAATTCTATTTGAATTGCTTTCTTAGAAAGCCCATTAGCTTTTACATATTCTTTTCGTTGATTCAAAGACTTATAAATGTGTTCATAAGAAATATTAGAGATCTTATAAGGTATCTCTAAAAGTACTTCATCTAGATTTGTTGTAGAAGATTCTTGAAAACCATCAGTAAAAGATTGTTGTTGAAGAGTTGAGGTAGGTTCAACTTGTTTTTTATCTTTGTACCAACGTTTTGAAACAAGAATTATATGAAACTTTGCATGAGTTGAATTTCCTAAAAGGCGAAAAAAATGATGGCAAACAATGCCACGTCGAACCAAACAAAGACATGTACAAAGATGAGATTGATCATTAAAAAGAACTACGTAATTTTTTTTACTATGTTTATAACAAACAAGTTTCCATATTTCAAGTACATCATTGTAATGATTAGCTGGAATTAGCTCTTTTAAAAGTATTAATGGAATGTTAATGGTATCTTCTGCAAAACTAGTACTAGGTAATTCATCTTCATACCCTATTTCAAAAGCGTTATTTTTATTTACTAACTGAGAAGTATATCTATACAAATTCATATTTCTAAATTAGTATTTAATTCACGATATATTATCTTAAATCAATAAGATTTAAAACAGTAAAAACGTACCAAATTGCTTGAGCTATTTCTTGTCTTTGCATAGAGAGAGCAGCAGATATTAGATAATCACCAATCCACTTATCAATTATAGGTGAAAAATCGTGGCTTGCATGTGTAAGAGTTGAACCAGTTATAGAATGTGACCAATTTCGATATTGAATAGTAGAAGATACACTAATAAAGTGTGCATCAAGTTTCTTAAAAAGTTCAATAATCAAAGTGTGGCTGTTAATTGTACTTTTGATTATTATGTTCTGTCTCTCAACCCTTTGTGTAGACTGCAACTCAGCCGTAAAAGTACGTGAAATATAAGCAAGTGCCCATTGTTTTTTTTGAGATCCAAGTGATCTATTAAAATAAAAAACCGCATCAGGATAATTTTCAAGAAGAGAATCCCAAAGACGTTAGATTTTAGATTTTTTATAATATTCTGCCCAATGTGATAGATACAGTGAATATGATATGTATTTGGCATTATATTTGCAACTGCGGCATCAATGGCCAGATCACTATCCGTTATAATAACTGAAGGAAAAATGTTTGTAGCTTGAACCAAAGAACTAAATACCCATTTAAAACTTTCTGACATTTCATTGCCTATCAATGTTTGTCCAATCAATCGAGACCTATTATTGTTATCTACAATTATGAATAGTCCAAGTGCTATTTTAAACCGATTGGTTGAGTAAGTATTGTTATATTGCACTATATCTCTGTATTGGATATAAAGATCATATTGTTCCGGTATCATCCAAAATAAGCTTGTTAAAGAATTTGTTGACGGATCTATATGCCAATTTACAACTTATCTTATATTCTCAGCCTTGTGTTCAAGAAGGTGAGTAATTAAAGTAGTAGCTTCATCTTCAATTTGCTATCCTTTTTTTATTTTCTGGATTGCATTTGATAAATCTTGAGGTAAAAAAAATACATTTTCATACTTTGCCATAAGTAGCTGGCACTGTGTATGCATGTTAAGGTTTCCTTTAGTAGTCCAGAACTTTATGTCTGCCAACATAGGTTCAGTCAATGTTCTATGTACAGTGCCAAATTTATTGGCAAGAGGGTCTAGAGGATAGTCACCATGTTTTAGAGAAATGGAGGTAATCTTAATTTTACCACTCATTTTAGAACATGTGGCATTTACAAACTACAGGCACCCATTATATTTAGATCTTGTATCATGTTGTTCTTCAGCGATCATTTTTTTTTTACCATTATACTGTCCTTGAAACTCACATCGATACCTACAATGTCTTCGCATTTTTCCATCATATTCTGCTCCATAGATAATTTTTGAAAAATATTGTGAACTACAATAAGCGTCCATATACCTATCTATTTGTTCCTATAAATCAAACTTCATACCAATTTTTGGGATTTCAACTAAAAAGGAAGATTGTTCAGATTGTTCAGATTGTCCAGAATGTTCGGATTGTCCAGATTGTCCAGATTGTTCAGGTTGTTCAAAAGTAATAATTTCCTTCGATACTCTAATTTGTGGCTCGAACAAAGATAAAGGTAGTTCACGCGAAGGTGATTCAAATGAAGTTGGTTCCGATAAGAGTAATTTAGATGTTCCATCTGACTGTTCATATGTTATTATATGTAACATTAGTTCATCGTAAGTAGCCAGAATTGTGTCTTCGCTTCGTTTTATTCCTTGTATGTAAAATGTTCTTGTACTTTAATACACTATTAGCTAATTCACAAGCTAATAAACAAACTTGATTTACCTGATGGTTCATTATCTATTATTAAATCCGAATTCATCAAGCCTTATTAA